CAAAACCAACGTGCTGGAAGCCATCTCCTTTCTGACTGCAGGCCGCGGCCTGCGCCGCGCAACGCTCGCGGACATTGCCCGTACCCCGGGTCCGGGCAGCTGGAGTGTTGCGGCGACAGTTGAGCTTGACGGACTGGAAACGAAGCTTGGCACAGGACTTGTCGAAGGCGCGAGCGGACGGAAGGTCCGCATTGACGGCGAAGATGTGCGCGGCTCGGAAACGCTGCTCGACTATGTGCGCGTCCTCTGGCTGGTGCCCGCCATGGACGGCCTTTTCACCGGCCCGGGCTCGGACCGGCGCAGGTTCCTCGATCGGCTGACGCTGTCGGTCGACCCCGGCCACGGCCGCCGGGTCAGCAACTTTGAAACGGCCTTGCGTCAGAGGAACAAGCTCCTAGAACAGGGGGGGACGGAGACTTTCCTCACGGCCCTGGAACAGCAGGTCGCGGAGCTGGGCACGGCCGTCTCCATCGCCCGCCAGGAAACGGTTGATCTTCTGGCCCAGACGGTTGCCGAGCAGAAAACGCAGAGCCAGCCGTTTCCGCACGCTTCGCTTGACCTGGAAGGGACATTCGAGCGCGGCACAGCCGGAATGAACGCGGCGGACCGTGAAGAGCACTACCGCGCTTTGCTGGCAAACGGACGGGCAAGGGACCGCGCGGCCGGACGCACGCTCAACGGCCCGCATCTCAGCGACCTCAAGGTGCGCCATGCCGCAAAGGACATGCCCGCCGCACTCGCCTCCACAGGAGAACAGAAGGCACTCCTGATCGGGCTGATCCTCGCCCATTGCGAACTCACCGCAAAGGTCAGCGGCATGACGCCCCTTCTGCTCCTTGACGAGGTCGCCGCGCATCTCGATCCGGACAGGCGGGCGGCCCTCTTTTCCAAGCTCGTGATGCTGGGCGGACAGGTCTTCATGACGGGCACCGACCAGGCCCTCTTCGAAGCCCTGCCGGCGCAGGCCCAGATCCTTGAAATCGGCAGTGGTGAAGCCCGGCAGATCACACCTGCTCCAACCTCATAAAACCGCCTGAATCTTGTGGTTTTCCACCATAATCGTTTCGCTGGCTTCACCATGGGCCGCGTGCGGTTGAACACCCCGGGGAACCCCGTATAACGGGGTGATAACAGACAAACCGATTGGTGATTGATTCGCATGAGCGACACGTCCACGTCAGAGCCTATTCCGACCCCTGAAACCGACAACGGTGCCGAATACGGAGCGGACTCCATCAAGGTCCTCAAGGGACTTGATGCAGTGCGCAAGCGCCCGGGCATGTATA